AAATTTTGACAAGAGGTCCATGTATCGGTAGTGAGACAAATACGAAAAGAACACTTGCTAAAGTAGCTTTTCAGATTTTTTTTTCATCCAAAAACACACGATAACAATCTCTAGCAACTGTGAAACGAGAGGGACTAATGAAATTTGGTTAAACAACAGACATAAAATGGCAAAAACCCTCACGCTCAGAAAACCTAAATGGCAATTCATCCATTATTATCATTTTAGCAAAAGCTTTTCGACCATCCTCCTGCCTATACTTACAAAATTCTAATTTCCTTTTTTTTCACATTTTTTATTATCACCAATACTATCTACTAAAGTTTGTTAACTTTTCTCACTAGAAAGAGCAAGAAGCCTTTGTGATTGCTCAATATTAGGGGGATAATCCTTAAACCTTGAAAGATGATTTTTCATAACACTTGTACCACTTTTAGAGTCACCACAAACATCAACATGACAACACAAACATTTTGATCTTTTATCCCCACCTTTTGTTATCAACTAAAAATGATCCCAAAGCCAAGACTTTTTTTTTCTTTTTTTTTTTCAGCTTCTACATCATCACTAGTCCCAGTTGAAGGTCTTTTTGCTAAAACTGGTGGTGGTGGATTTTGATCTCCAACAGGCTCGGTAGCAGCAACACTTGAAACCAAGGGAACCTCACTTGACGGGTTAGTTGGGGAAGCACTTTCGGCAGTAATATCATGATCATCCATTATCTACAACACAACATTAACATTTGTATAAATCAAAAATTTTTCAAATATAAACCAAAATGACTGCAATTCCACTCTAAGATTGCCAAAATGTCTAAACAACCATGTAAAGCTATAAGTAGGAGCAGAATAAATTAAAAGAACGACAGAAACCACAAACTGCCAGAGGGGCAGAGGGCTCTCCTGTCTCCACTCTCCACTCTCCAGACATACACTCTAAAAGTCTAAATTACTAACACATCATAGACCATAGTAGTAAGATCTCAAACTACAATCAAGCTAAAATCTAATTAAAAACCTAATTTACACAAAATACGATAAATTACACAAATGAATCTCAAAATACGAAGAAATTAAACAAGAAACTAAACAGAAAATTAAACAAAACAAATTAACAAAACCCACATCAACATACATAAAAAAAAACAGAAAATTTAACAAGAAATTAAACAGAAAATAAACAAGAAATTAAACAAAACCCACACTAAGTCACTAACATGCAACAAAAAATATACAGAAAATTAAACAAAAACATAAACAAAACCCACATCAACATAAAACAAAAAACTCACCAAAAATAAAAAACAGAGGACCTTCAATGGCGAAGAGCACGAGGTTCAATGAAGCTTCAAGCCTTCAACGACGAATTTAAAAAAAATAAAACCCTAGAAATTCAGAAATTTCTAAAGTCTTCAATTTGCACTAGATTTGGCCCATTTGGGAGTGAGATACTGAGATCTGAGAGGAGATTTTGAGAATTGAGTGGAGAGAGGCAGAGAGACTAATAGAGGAGAGAGAGAGAGAGAGATGTTCCATGAGAGGGGTGAGCAACTTTCAAATTGAGTGTTTAGGGAATTAGGGTTCACTGGTTCAATAAGTTTTTCATTTTTTCAACCTTTTTTTTTTAAGGCTGAGAAATTGAGAATACTCGAGAAGTAAAACAATGAAAAACAAGTGATTTTCGAATGTCGGATATCCGATCCGATATCCGAAAGAAGTTCGGATATCGGATATACGACATCCGATATCCGAAAAATGTTCGGATATTGGATATCCGAATTCCATAATTTGGATATCCGATATCCGAAAATCCGGATCGGATATCCGACCCGAAATCAAAATTCGGCCGGATGTCCATAATTTTCGGATTGGATGCGGATCGGATCATCGGATTTTCGGATCTTTAGATAGTTCTACTCAGCCCTACCGTCCAAGACCCTCTCACTAATTAAAGCAACTAAACATGCATTCACATAATTAACAACATAAGAGAGAGAAAGAGAAAAGACATTCTTACCCTTGACGTGTGCTTCGCTCGATTCACGAGCTCTTACTTCAAAGCTCGAGCCTCGCAAGAGCGACGACCTGCTACGGCTCGCACCCTCGACCTGACCCGAACGGTCTTACTCCCGAAGGTTAGTCGGGACTTGACCAATAAAAACTAGAGTATTACGAACTTAAGGTTTTCTCACTTTACAAAGGAGATGCCTTTTTAGTTCAACTCAAGTGATTTTTCCCAAACCCAAAACTTGGGTATTTATAGGGAATGGAGACTTGATCTCCATTCTCCCATCAATGTGGGAGATTTGCATTTTCCTCAACTTTATTTTAATCAAAACAAAATAAAAAATGCAATGCAATCAATAAGCTCCAAGTGGCACAAGGAGGGAGAGAGAGTAGGTGAGGACCACCAAAGGGGGGACCAACTCACCTTGCTCCCTAAGCCAAACACAAACCACCTTTTGTCCCCTCCATGACCGGCTGACCAAGCCACATGGCAGGTTGGTAGCCTACCTTGGCTGCCAAGGCTGCCAGCTGGCACCTGGCACCAAGGCTGGGCTGCTGGCCAGCCTGCCCACGCATGCATCGCTGTGATGCTGTTGCGTGATGTTGCTTGGTGCTGCTTGCTATGCGAGTGGCGTGGTGCTTGGTGCTATTCGCTAGTAAGCACGCTAAGCTACACACATGCACGCACAGTACGCTGCTGCGATGTGTGTGCTGTGTGAGTGCATTGCTTGGTGCGAGGTTACGAAGAGTTGGGCGCCAGGCCCTAGCATGCTAGGAAACACGCAAGACACCATGCTTGCGATAGCAAGGCCTAGCAAGCACTTGCGTGCAGCTGGCCTTGCGATGCTTGCGGGCTAGTAAGGGGCTTGGTGCTTGGCTTAGCATGATGCGATGGTTGGGGCTGCTATGCTAGCACTCCTAGCCATACACGCACAGCCACACGCATGCACGCATCTTGCGATACTTGGGCCATGCGATGTGCGTGTGCTAGGTAATGCTAGGCACCCATGACACGCATGGGTTGGTGACCTTGCCTAGCCTAGCACTCGCATGGCTAGGCCAATGCGAGGCTACGGCTTGGCTCGAACTTGTCGCTTACTTGATTCCACGTCTTGTTGAATTCTAAATTAGACTCGACTTGCGACGCTCGGTCTCGACGCTCTAAGATCGATATCTGACGTCTTTGTTCGTAATACCCTAATGACTCATCTAATCCTTTGGATTGATTCGTCGATTTTTATCGGTTATTTGATTGGGGTGCGACCCTAAGGGTTCAGTCAAGATTAAGCCGTAATATTAATTATGCATTAATATTATTGATCGGAAGCAGCCTCCACCTAGGCATTCCGATCACTTGTCCTCACTGAAGAATTAGTTTTCTAATAATTCCAAACCCTCTATTGGAATAATACACTTGTTGGAAGGACACCATTCCTGTCAATCTGAAGATGAGATCTTCAGGTTTTTGAGGTGACTGCTTCGACTGTTTTGGTGCAGCCGAGGATTTTGCCTCGGCAAAATTTTTGTAGTAATCCAGACTTTAAGTTTCTGCTCATTTTTCTTTTCTCTTCTATTTTGTTTTTGAGGGATCTGATTTCGTTGTTCAGAAGCCTTGGGCTCCGAGAACAACATATTTGACCCTTATAATTCATCCGAGGGAACGACTATCTGAAACACGATGCAAGGGCAATGAGCTATCCGAAGTACAATTCTTCATTAGGCAATACTTCAGAAGTGCAATCATCACCTGGAACTGATTCATCCGAAGTACAGTGCTTCATTAGGCAATACTCCGGGGCTTTATCAGCTCCTATTTTTTAGGAAATGTTTCGGATGCGCCTATGGCCTCTTTGCACAGAGGAACTGATTCATCCGAAGTACAAGGCCTCATTAGGCAATACTTCAGGGGTTTATCATTTATCCTCGTCTTGGCAGGTTTTACGGCTAGCCGAAGTATAAGGCCTCATTAGAAGATACTTCGGGCAGCACCGAACGAAAACCTTGAATGTTTTCAAAAACCATTGAAGACTGAAAAAATAGAAATCTGCTGAATTTGAAAAAGTGGTGGCTCAAAGGCCTTTCATTAATAATGAAGATGTACTTACATAGATTGCTCTTCCCCGAAGGGCTTTACACGTGGTATTTCTTAAGTACATCAGCGTTCCAGTGATTTTTCAACTTAGTACCATCTAACTGCCGAAGTCAGTATGTTCCTGGCTAAAGCTCATCATATATTTCATAGGGTCTCTACCAAGTAGCTGAGAGTTTTCCATGGATGCAGCCTTTTTGCACAGCAGCAGCATTCCGAAGAACAAGATCCCCAACTTTGAGAAATCTTGCGTGGACTCTTCGGTTGTAAAATTTGCTGATTCTCTGCTTGTATGCAACCATTTTGTCTTAAGCTGAATATCTGATCTCGTCTAAGAAGTCAAGGGACTCTTTCATGAGTTGTTCGTTTTCTTCGGCTGAGAAGTGATTCACTCGGAGACTTTCTGAGCCAATTCCACTAGAAGAATAGCTTCGGATCCATACACTAATTCAAAAGGTGAATGTCCCGTTGCCTCTTTTTCTGTTGTCCAAAGTGACCAAAGAGTTCCTAGAAATTCCTCTACCCACTTGAACTTTTGATCTTCAACTCTCTTCTTGAAAGCGTTGAGGATTTGTTTATTTGCAGCTTCGGCTTGACCACTACTATGCGGATGATAGACTGTAGAATATGTCAATTTAATGTCGAACTGGTCTGTGTACCGCTTCAGCGGCAGATTATCAAATTGCCTCCCATGATCGAAGACAAAAACCTTCGGAATTCCGAAGCGAGTGATAATGTTTTGCCAGATGAATTCTTGACTGTCTACTCTGTAATGTTCGAAGTTGCTTCGGCTTTGACCCATTTACTAAAATAGTCTATGCCGACTATCAGCCATCTCTTTTGGTATGGAGCATCAGGAAACTGTCCCAAAATATCCAATCCCCATTGAGTGAATGAGAGGGGATTCAAGATTGGCTGAAGATCTCGCGATGGCCGATGGATGTCTTGTGCAAACTTTTAACTTCACATTTTCTAACCACCTCCTTTGCATCTATGATTATGGTGGGCCAGTAGTACCCAGCCCTTAGTGCTTTATGGGCTAAAGCTCTTCTCCCTATGTGGTTTTCACAGATATCGAGATGAATTTCTCGAAGGATGTAATCAGTATCTATTGGACCCACGCATTTCAATAGTGGGGTTGAGAAGGACTTTTTAAAAAGTTCTTCTTTAAAGACGATGAACCTTGAACTGATTTTCTTCATCTCAGAGGCTAAGTTCCTGTCTTCGGGAATTTCTCCCCGAAGTTTGTAAGCTAGGATGGGGTCCATCCATCTCGGCTCGTGTGCGACACAGCAAACCTCTGGTTCTTGGTCCACACTTATTTCTTGGCGCACTTCCACATATACAGACCGGTTCAGCTCGGTTAGAGTTGAACTTGCAAGTTTGGAGAGTGCGTCGGCTTGTGCGTTCTGACCCCTTAGGATCAGCTCGACTTCAAAAGTTCTCAGCATCGTAATGACAGTTTTGATCTTGGCAAGGTAAGCTATCATTGAGGGCTCTTTGGCCTCATACTTACCTCGGATCTGATTTACGACAAGTTGAGAGTCTGTCTTTAAACAGACATGCTCGGCTTCTAATGCTATGCACAACTCTAATTCAGCAATTGTTGATTCATATTCAGCTTTGTTGTTTGAAGCCTTGAATGAGAATTTTAGTGCATATTCAAAGGATTTGCCTTCGGGAGAGGTTATGAAAAACCTTGCCCTCGAGCCATTCACGGTGGAGGATCCATCCGTGAAAACGGTCCATATTTTCCCTTCCTCGTCGATTGTCTCTTGATAAGAACACTCGACTAGGAAGTCTGCTAAGGCTTGCGTCTTGATAGCTGGCCTCGGCTGGTAGCTGATACTGAACTTGGTGAGCTCGAAAGCCCACTTTTCTAGTCTCTGGATTTTTCCACTTTGCCGAGGACTTTTTCCAGCGGCTGATCGGTTAAGACCACTATTTAATGGGAATAAAAGTAGGGTCTCAACTTCCGAGCGGCCACCAATACTGCGTATGCAACTTTTTCGAGTAGGGGGTAGCGTGTCTCGGCATCTGTCAGAGTGTGACTAACAAAGTAGATCAGCTACTGAACCTTTTCTACCTTCCTTAGCAACACCGCGCTTATAAGGGCTGGACTGACCGCCACATATAAGTACAAGGTTTCCCCTTCAACTAGTCTTGCCAGTGTTGGGAGGTAAGCCAGGTGCTTACGGAGTTGCTTAAAAGCCTCTTTTTTCTTGTCTTCGCAGATGAGCTTTTTTGATTTTGGGAGTTTTAGCACTTTGAAGAAAGGCAACCCCTTGTTCGAGGCTCGAGGGATGAACCCGGAAAGGGCAGCCATTTTTCCAGTGAAACGCTGAACGTCCCTTTTTGTTTTTGGCTCAAGAAGATCCAGAGTTGCTTGAACTTTGGCGGGATCAACATTAATCCACTTTTTGCTGACTATGAAGCCGAGGAATTTTCCTGACTTCACGCCGAAGACACACTTCTTCGGATTCAGCTTCGTTTTATGTTTTCTAAGGGTGACGAAGGTTTCGGCCAGGTTTGTGATATGGTCTGCATATTTTTTTCTTTTGACGATAGAATCGTCAACATAGGCTTCCATGTTACGACCCTCTTGCTCGGCGAAGACCCGATCAACCAGCCTTTGATAGGTTGCCCCCGCATTTTTCAATCTTAAGGGCATCATTTTATAGTTGTACACCCCGACACTTGTAACGAAGGTCGTTATTGCGCGGTCTTCGAGGTGCATGAAGATCTGATAGTACCCCGAGAATGCGTCCATAAAACTAAGTAGAGCATGCCCACTCGTCGAGTCAACTAATTGATCGATCCTTGGCAAGGGATAAAAGTCCTTCGGATAGGCCCTATTCAGATATGTGAAGTCAACGCACATTAGCCAACCATTCTAGATACTGACAAGGCTCAATAAATCCCGCATCCAGAAGTTTTTTGACTTTCGTCGCGATGTCCTGGTTCTTTTGAGCGAAGTAATTCCGCTTCTTTTGCTTAATTGGCCGACATGTTGGGTCGACATTACGCACATGAGAGATGAGATTCGGATCAATCCCGAGTATCTCTGCTGTCGAGAACGCGAACACATCTTTGTTGTCCCGAAGGAGTTGAATTAATTCAACACGAACATTTGAATCAAGTCCCAGTCCAATGCTGACACATCTTTTAGAATTCCCTTCGGTCCACTCTATTGACTCAGTCTGATTGTCCAGCTCCATGGCTTGGGCGCTCGACTCTTCTTGCTCAGGCCTGCTGTCAATATCAGTAGGCTTCCCAGACTTCGGCTGATTCTCTAAGTCTTTCAGCTTAGATGAGGAATCAGCCTTTTCTTTCCCCAAATATTTTTCTTTTACTGGGGCTCCTTGGCCAAAGCACTTAAGCCTTTAGGCCTTTTTGCGCAACGGTCCTAATCTTTTTCCTCCTCAGCATCCCGGTCGTCGCGTCGACCTTTGGATGGTTTGAGGTGGTTGCATCTTCGGCCTCCTCTTGGCTGCCCTTTATTTTTTCAGAGTGTCCCTCGTTCCAAACATAGATCATTGTTTGGTGGTACGTTGAGACGACTCCTTGAATGTCGTGAATAAGGGTTTTCCCCACGATCACGTTGTACACAGATGGGACATCCACGACCAGAAATTCGGCCATGGTGTTCCGTGCTGCTCGGCCTTTGTCGATGGTGACAAGAAGGATCTTCCCATCGGGATATGATGAAGAGCCGTTGAATCCGGATACCGGGTAGGGTACTGGAGTCAGGTGCTTGGCTTCCAATATCAGTTGGTCGAATGCTCCTCGAAAGAGGATATTTGCCCCGCTACCACCGTCGACGAGAGATTGCCAGACGTTGCGATTTGCAATGCCCATCACAATTACTAACGGGTCTTCATGGGGGTATACCAGCCCCTGGCGGTCTTCGGTTGTGAACAGAATGTTCGGCACCGAGGACTGAGGTGCTCGGATGTCTACGTGATTCACTTGATGGGTCAAGCCCCTCAAGTGATGTTTCACTGCATTCCGAGAATTCCCCCAGATTTGATAAGGATATCAAGAGTTTCTTTGCCTTGTGATTTGTCCTTTTTCCGAGAGAAATCAATTTCTTGCTGATGATCCTTTTTAGTTTTTTTCTCTTTGCGGCGCTCTGTGAGGTACTTTTTTATGTAGCCCTTCCGAACTAGATCCTCGATCTGATCTTTCAGCTGAAGGCAGTCCTCGGTGCAATGTCCAGTAGATTCATGGAACTCACACCATCGGTCCTTGCCCTTTTGCTTATGCCATGGTGGGAGTGGCCTTGGTTTCTTGAACCTCCCCTCGTCTTTGGTTGTGATATAGATTTTGGCAAGGGGAAGAGCGAGAGGAGTGTAAGAATCATACCTCCCTGTATAGGGGGTCCTATCTTTTTTCGGCTCGGGTGTCAAGGACAAGTCTGAGGCTTTCGCCTTCCCTCTCCTCGGCCCTTGGCCTACGGACACCTGTCCTTTCGCTTTCCCAGCCCCGGATTAGGACTGGGATTTTGTCTTGTTCCACTCTTCAGCTCGGATGTATTTATCCGAGGCGTCCAAAGCTTTCTCCAAGGTCTGCGGGGGATGGATGACCATGAAGTCAGGGAACTTGCCAGCTTGTAAGCCATTCCGCAGTGCAAACACGGCTCGGCCCTGATCCAAACTTGTGATCCTGGATGACTCGTTGTTGAAACAAGTTAGATAGTCTCAAAGGCTTTCATCCTTCGCTTGCTTCTAGGGGTGTTCATATCCGGGTACCCGGATATTCGGGTACCCACAAATCCGGGTACCCGGATCTTCGGGTAGTTGATAAGTCGGCCCGTGTCCCATCCCGGATAATTCGGGTACCCGGTATTCAGGTACCCGAATTATCCGGGATGGGACACGGGTACCCGGATTTTATTTAATTTTTTTTAAGATAAGTTTGTACCTAAAACTTGCTGTATTTTTCTACAAAAAATCTGCTATATATACAATAATAAACCTGTTGTGTTTTTTCTGCTGTAATTTTTTTTTTTAAATCTGTTGTTTTTTTTAAAAAAAAAACCTTGGAGTTTTTATAGTCTCTTAAATCTCATTTTCTCGGATTTATGCAAGCTATGGTTGGATCAGTGTTGTGTTCTATATTTATAAAAGCCATAAGTTGTGCCAGACCTATGAGTCTATGGCTGCTATGTGCTGCGTGCTGCAGGTGTTGTAGCATTTATTTCTGTATTTACCCTTCCTACAGTGTTCCAGTTGGGCCCGAAGTATTGATTGGTTGATTCCGTACAATTAATTATGAATGTTTTCTGAGATGGTGAGGAGAAGAATTGACCAGTTTGTTATTGTTAGCTAAGGGTTTACTAGTAACTTGAGATAATGATGTGAAACTATTGTATAATGAGGATGCTTATGGTGTTGAACAAGAGTCTCTTAGAATTTGGAAGACTAAATATTTGCTTAAAAATTAAAAAAAAAGGGTGATAAAAATGCTTTGATAAACGCATATTCAGCTTTTGCAAGTTTGAGGAGATGTAGAGGCGTAGAGCACTAGAGCAGTAGGGAATTACTGAATTAGGGATAGAGAAGAAGAAGAGCTGCGTGTTTTTTCTTTTTGGGAGTTATTTGATGTTTACCCTAGGTTTAGTAAGTGGGCTGGCTGGAACTGGCAGTGTTAAATTTTTTTTATTTTTTTTAAACGGGTATCCGGGTACCCGATAATTGCAAAGCTTGTCCCATGTCCCGGCCCACAAAAGTGCTATTTTATCGGGACGGGTACCCGATCCTAAAAAAACAGAAAATTTTGAAAATTTCCCGTCAGGTATTTTGCGGGTCATCGGGAATTCGCGACGGGACAACCAGATCGGGTTTTTTTAAACACCCCTACTTGCTGGAGACGCATCAGTTCTGGAGTTGTTTTCTCTCGGCGATTTGCCGTAAAAAAACTTTCTCTTGAATTTGTTGGAAAGATCCTTCCAACCGGTTATAGAGCCTTCTTTCACTCCCTTGGTGATCCACGCTTGTGCAACACCTTTGAGGGTCGTTGGAAAATATTTACACCAAGTAGCCTCGGACCTAGGGTTAAGGTACATATGCCCCTCGTAAGAGGCAATGTGGTCCTTCGGGTCCGTAGTACCATCGTAAGTGATGTGCGTCAGGATTTTCATCGTCGGCACATGCTCTTCCAATATCCAACTTTGGTAGGGCGAGCTGGTAGGGACCATTACGGCCTTCCCCTTTAGTCTAGCCATTGGGACCTCGCTTCTCCCTCTTAGAGAGGTGGAAGTGGTTTTTGTCTTTGGCTGAGACGGTTTAGGGTAGGGCTCGGTTCCCTTCGGGTTTCACAATATTCATTGGACTGCCATTCAGGAATTCCTGGAAACCCTTCCCCATGAAACTTCCACTCATAGTAATGAAGCACAAAACCCTTGCGATATAAATAAATTTTAATCGTTTCCGCATCCCAAAGTCGTTTGTTCTTACATTTAAAACATGTACACCTAACTTCATTCGGGTTACTACTCTTGGGATGATCTTTGACGTACAAAATGAATTCATCAACCCCTTTCATGAACTCTGGATCAATAGAATGCCCAAACTTCCTTTCATACATCCAGCTACATTCTGTTCATTTCATGATTACAACTTCTACACAACTCACGCATATGTATAATCACATTAGTCACAAAGCGTATTTAATATTCATTATCCATCAAAGTGTTATGGAAATGCAAATGAGATTTGAAATGATGTCCAAGGATCCTTATCACTCCAACCTAACCCATCTTGTACGTTTAATCCCACTAGTGAATGTATGCCAGGTTTTCAATTTTATGGGAAATCCGATAGCATTTCCCTGCAGTTCTGCAAGTACACGATGTAGGCGATTAGATACACCTACATATGTACCCAGAGAACATTATAGAGAAATGACAAGCCATGATATTCCCTAGAATCATTAACAAGGCATACATTCACCACCTAAGTGAGAATAAACGTACAAGGACAGTCCCAACCGGGAACTATTCAAGACATACTCCTAATGTGTATGCCTTGAACGGGTATCTAGGCATATGATTATGCAAATGATTCATTTACAAAATATATAAAGTAAAGGACACATGCATTATATTAAACAAATATATCATAATTAAACTAAAGTAAACAAATATATTAAACAATTATTAAACATTATATATATTAAACATTATATAAAACAAATATATTAAACTAATTAAACTAACATACATTATATTAAACTAAACTAAACTAACATACATTATTATATTAAACTAAACCAAACCAAAGTAAACTAACATATCATAGTACAACACACATTTCAAATATATAAATAAAAATATATAAATTGTGTACAGGCATAAAACATAATCCGAATTAAGTACATATGCATACTACATAAACAAAAGTTAGGTTAAACAATCGCCTAGGTACCCTGGCCTGCTCCACCACTACCCGGGTCATCCCTAGAGTCTTAACGCTGAGGATGTAAGGTGGAACATGTGTCGTTGTTGGGGAAACGACTCTTAAACTCATCCCACCTCTCCTAGTTTCTCCTCTCTATTGCGGCCATTTGGGCTTCAAATCGGGTTTGCATCTCGACTTCCATTTCACTTCGGATTTCACTGCGAAGAGCCTGCACCCTATTCTCCATCTAATCCTGCATTTGAGAAACAACAGAAGGCATGTATTGCTGTGAAGACGTGGAAATACGACCTATCCAATTGCCAAAGTACGACTCTGCACTTTGGCCAAGTCCCATCACACGACCCTTCTTGTTGCGACCTCCCACCGTTTCCTAGTACAACTAATTCGAACTCTTTCAAATCCCTTGATTGCTTGTTCTTCAACCTTCATTTGGTAGGCCTCCTACAAGATATTCATATGAAGAGGAGCAACTTACTAAGTTTAAGGAAGCATTTTCAACATATAGAACCAAGTAAGGCCTAAATCACTTCTACTTTGCCCATTTTCTTCATTTCTTATCAAATAAACTCATTCTTAATCCAAACATGTCAATATTAGGTTGTTTTAGGTGTATAAGGCTTGATATCACAAAAAATGACCAATTACCTAAGTTTTATGAACCACTTTCATCCAAATTCATCCAAATAAGGCCCAAATGACTTCTACTTTGCCCATTGTCTTCAATTTTTATCAAATGAATCTCCTCGAGCTCCTTAATAGAGGGAGTTCGACCACCCTCCTCTTGACCAATCCTCCTTCTCAAGTTTCTTGACGGAAGAGGTGAGGGATCACGAGGAGGAGGAAGGTTTCCTGCTTGGGCCTTCAAGAAGTCCATGTAGACTGCTATGACTCTCGCCACTTCCTCCGTAGAGATCCCCGTTTGAGGGGTTGTTCTCGGCTGAGACCGAGATGTGAGATTCGCGGAGGAGGACTCCTCGCATTTGATTGATTTGGCCAAGACGAGCTTGTCGGCTGGCCAGTATTATGGGATGGTGACTTCTCCGAGGCTTCCCTTTCTTGAGAAGAGGGAACTTTTGAAGAAGGAGAAGAAGGCTCCAGTGATGATGGAATCGGTTGATTCACTCTCACCGTTATTTGGTCTCTCCTCGAAGAGGAATGACCATTCTTCTTAGCACTCTTGGCACTTTTACCGCTCTTAGTCATGTTTCTACTAAGAGTGATTGATTTTTTTTATATCTTCCCCACAGACAGCGCCAAATTGTTTCGGATGAAAACAATAGGACCTTTCAGCAGGCCCTTTTCAAGGGAGAATACTGGTCTCGGTCCAAGTGATGACTGGACCGAGGATTTCCTGCACAGTAAACACACGTAAACTAGCCTCGGGGTGGTTGCCTAGGAAGGCCCCTTCGATACTAAAGTCAGTTCAGTGTGAGAAGAATAAGCTATGCAAGAGAGTTAGTTGCTTGAGGCTTAATGTGCGTGAATGATAAATGAGACAATTGATGACTTTTATACATTTGCTCAATAAAGGAGGATTGGGCCTTTGAAGTCAGATGGGTTTGCCATGCTGACTGGGCTTGATTGACTTTAGCATGCTTTGGAGAGTTGAACCTTGATTTTGGGCTTTTATAATTAAATCATTTGAGCTGGCCCAATTAGATTAACTGAATTGGACCCAAACAGATGCTATTAAGCCTGAAGACTCCGAACTTATTCATATAACAATTCATGGTAAACAACTAAAACAAGAACCTCAGTTAAAGAATGCACTATAAGAAACCAAAAGAAATTACAAAAGATATGTATAAAGTGGTGAGAACCAAACAAACTAATTGGTTGTTTTCTTATTGGATGCACAAAAACATCTTCCAACTTAATATGTATAAATGGATTACTTTAAAATCCCACCTTTTTAACTCTTTTAAATTCACTAGCAGTAGTCCTTTGAGTTCATGGTTTGCCACTTCCATTATCAACCTTCCAATAAATTTTAAGCTGCTTAATATATTACAAATGATAGATTTGGCGGGCTGCTTCAATGACGAAAAAGCTATGAGCACGCCTCTGCCTATCAAGAAGTATCTGGTTGAAACTCACAAACTGTACTGCAAGTGTGCACTCCATAATGTTAATGGAATTGTACACGACTCGAATATGTTTGGCCAAATTGCCAATTACCAGGAACAACATTGTTAAAAACTCGGGTTTGGCCATCAGTGGTAGTAATTCTAAAGGATAGAGATTGTCCGTCGAGGTATGCCAATGACTGCCAGTTAGCACCCCAGTTTCTAGACATCGCCATCCAGTTGGTTTTCGATCCCTTGATCGAAGCAGATTGTATTGATCCTGCTGCGGCTACATTGCTGATCGTAACAAGCTCAAAGTAGTCCCTTCCATTGATAGTGAATCTTACTCCTCCATGTTTCTTGCAAGGAACCCTGTCACAAAACAAAATTAATATTTTTATGACAATGAAGAAAATTTGTTGCATATTAAAGGTAATTCTAATGAATTAACACTAAAACAATATGTAATGATCGAATAATGAAGGTTTAAGTGTTCTTACCTTTGGAACATGACAGGAATGATTCCACCCCTGTAAATGCCAATCTTCTCCCAAGCAGGTTGGGCCATGTCAAAGTGCTGAAGAGGAGGGTTACACCAACCTCCATCATCGTTAGGCTGAGCAGGGTTAGGAGGGCAGAAATTAGTCGCGGTAATAGTGACCGAAACTCCCTTCCTGCACCACTGGGGATCCGTCTTGTAGTCGCACATGATCTTGTAGCATTGTCCACATGATGCCCCGTTGTTGAACAAAGCAGTACTTAGAGCCGCAGTTCTAGTCCCATAGCCACTAGTGTATAAGTTACCGTACCCACAAGCCCCTCCTGCATAACAACAAAAAGATTCAGTTCTATGTTACTTCGATTCGATTAATAAATTAAATGATAGTAGTCTATGTACTTAAAAACAAAAACAAAAACACGTACCCATAGTCCCGGATGCATCACTACCGCCATAGAAAGTGGCATGAGCCTTTTGCCATCCAGAAGCCACAAAAGCATCAACATTGATATTTAGGAAACATACTCCAAGAAAAATAGTTGCTATAACTAAGGTTGCTTTGTTCATTTTTGTTTACTTCAAAAGAAGAGGATGAAGATGAAGATGAAGATGAGGATAGATATTGTCGTAATTGCTGAAATAAATGTTGGAGTAATGCTGCCTTTTATATGTGAGGTGTAACACTCTAGTATGTAGCCCCTTTGCAACAACCTCACATGGAACCAATATCGAGATAAGAAAGAAAACAGAGAAAATAAAATTTCATAAAATATTCAAAAATACATTTTAAAATTAGGAATTATCCCTGCAAAGTTTGATCCCCATTCAATTATTTCCACGTTCTCTCTTTTAACATTTTCTTCCTCTTTCATCACATCCCCACATGGATTTCAAAGAAAATAATAACTTCTAAATATAAACCAACAAATTGATGCTTTTTTTAGAATTCTTTATTAAAAAAAAAAAGTATGGGTGTAGAGTAGTTTGGCTTTTTAACAAAAAATATTTTCGCTTATTTTTCATAATATAAATTTATTTAAAATCGTCTTATCATTATTTTATTAGACCACATTTTTTTTTTGTTTTTAGAATAGTATGAGATCACTTTTATGAGTCACTATATGTATGCGACTCTATTTTAGTTAACCTTCTTAATTACCTGGTTTAACTCATCTACAAAGTGGTCTTATTTACAAAAAATTTACAAAAAATTCTAATTATAATGTAGAAGATACAGGGTATTTATAAGAAGGTAAGAGTGATAAAGAGAGAAAATAAAAAAGAGTTAGTAAGAATCATTATTCAATTAAAGTAATTTTCTAATTAATTTTCGAGTTACTCAAAAAATAAAAAATGGTGCGCCGAAGAAAAATGGACGAAGTATATTCATATTGTGTTTTCATTCATCATCGACCAGGCAAGTGGAAAGTCACATGGTATAAGTCTGGCCTTATTATGTGATGTTGTATGTGAGTCAAATCTCCAATATCCTCATGTGTTATGCACATGAAATTTTATTCTCTCATTATGTGAGGGGGTTGATGTATGTTCCTAAAACATTAATGTATGCACCGTAGTACTATTCAAATCTTATTGATTGCACATTATTTGGATAATACGTACATTCGAATCACCGCCATCTTTGTTAATTATCGAGTTTGGCGATTTTCTTGTGTATGTGAAAAGGGATATAGTACTTTCATTACGTGTTATTTGTAGGCGTGAAGATGTAGTAGTGTTGTAGACTTTTATAGTTGTATTGATGCTCATTTTATAGTGTTTCATAATAGTTACCATTGAGGCGTAGCTTTTCAACCTTTTTTTTAAGGCTAAGGGCATACTTCTCTTATTGTCATTAAGATTTAAATTGGAGTTTTTTTAGACTTGTAAATTGGACTCTTTTTCTTAGTAACGGGAGTTTGCTTAGGTTTCCCATTATTATTATTTGACTACTCTGTACGATATATGTTTCGTTTTGTTTTTCCTCATTATTGCATGTTTATTTGTGCTTTTCCTTGACATGTTGATGTTCGTTATAATTTTAGACTTTTAGTGATTGAATCTTGAAATTATGGTGTTCTTTGGTTGCCATGGGAAGTTAATTTCCATAGGAAATACTATTTTATTGGTGTTTGGGTCCAATTTACTTCAGTTGACCCGGTCCACAGATAATTCAATTACAAAACCCAAAAGAAAGTTTAACTCTCCTAATACATGCAAAGTCAGTCAAAGCTCCGGTCAACATGGCAAGCCCATTTGACCTCAAAGCCCAATTTATTTATTTGAGTAAGGTATAAAAGCCTTGACTTCTATCTCTCTCAATTCATTCACTTCAAGCCTCAAGCATTAATTCTCTTACATAGCTTTCTCTCTCTAGACATTGTACTGACTTCGCCATCGGAGGAGCCTTCCTCGGCACAAGCCCCGAGACCAATTTACGTGTGTTTGTTGTGCAGGAAACCCTCGTCCTAGTCATCACTTGGGCCGAGTCCTGTATTCATCCCACTAGAAAGGTCCAGATGAAGGACCTATTGTTTTCACTTGAAACAATTTGGCACCGTCTGTGGAGATCGAACCCACGACAGGGCATGAGGAAGGAAAGCGAGTTCCATCTTTTAAGGAGCTCGAGTATAGGGATGAAGATACTTGGAGAAACTGAACAAGAAAGAAAAGAACCCACAGTTCTTCGAGAGATCCGAACCCCGAAGTTTCAAAAGCAGCAACATCGCATCCACGCGGCAAGAGTCTGCCCGCCGACACGTTCACAAACGTATTGGCCCTAGGGAGGGGAGCATACACAGTCGCCTCACCTACCAAGAAGGGACTACACCTTACCCTGCACCGTCCTAGCCGAGGACAAAAACCACTTCTACCTCTCTAAGAAGGGGAAGCGAGGTCCCAACGGCTGCGAACAAAAGGAAGACAGTGATGGTTCCCTCCAGTTCCCCATTCCAGAGCTGGATTCTAGAAGAACATGTGCCGATGGTGAAAATCCGAGCACACATCACTTATGATGGTACTTTGGATTCAAAGGACCACATTGCCTCCTACGAAGGGCACATGTACCTGAATCCCAAGTCCGAAGCGACTTGGTGCAAATACTTTCCAACTAATCTCAAAGGTGTTGCACAAGCGTGGATCACCAAGGGAGTAAAGGAAAGTTCGATAACTAGTTGGAAAGATCTTTCCAACAAGTTCAAGGGCAAGTTTTCTACGGTAAACTACCGAGAGAAAACAACTGCAGAACTGATGAGTCTGCAGCAAGGGGAGGACGAAAGCCTCCGGGACTATCTGACTCGCTTCAGCAACGAGTTGTCAAGAATCACAAGTCTGAACCAAGGGCTAGCCGTTTTCGCGCTACGGAATAGGCTACAGGTTGGAAAGTTCCTCGACTTCAGGGTCATGCGCACCCCGTAGACCCTGGAGGAAGCTCTTGATGCTTCGGATAAATACATCCCAGTCGAAGAGTGGAACAAAATCAAGTCCCAATCTCAAACTAGGACTGGTAAGGAAAAGGACAACAGTCCGAAGGCCAGGGCCAGAGGAAAGGGAAGGCAAAAGCCTCAGGATCGTCTTGGGCAACTGAGCCAAAAAAAGAAAAAACCCCATTCGTAGGGAAATACGAATCCTACATTCCTCTTGCTCTTCCACGTGCTAAAATTTACAGCATAACGAAGAACAAAGAGAAGTGGAAGAAGTCGAGGCCACTTCCATCGTGGCATTAAAACAAAAATAAGGACCGAATCTTTGGTCGTGAACGTTCCATCTGTTTATAATGTGATCATGGGGAGACCCATGATCCATCAGATTCAAGGAGTGGTCTCCACTTACCATCAAATGATGATATATGTTTTTGACAAAGGCCACTTGGAAAGAATTCAGGGAAGGCAAGAGGCTGCCCGAAAATGCAACTACCTTAAGCCATCTAAAGAGCGTCGTGAAGACAAAGATGATGAGGAAAAAGAGAGAGAGAGAGACCGAAGCACTAAGAAGTAGAAAGGCTGAAGTGCTTCGGCCCAAGGGACCCCTGCCCAAGGAAATTCTAAGGGGAAAGGAAAGGCTCGCTCCTCATCCGAACCAAAGGATTCGGGTGCTAGCCAAAATCTAGGACGCCTGCCGACATCGACAACAAGCCAGACTGTGAAGAGTCCGGGTCCAAAGCAATGGAGCTGGACCAGCAGACTGAGTCAATAGAGTTGACCGAAGGAGACCCTGAAAAATATGTCAGCATCGGGCTCGGACTCCATTCGAACATCCGAGTTGAACTCATCCAACTCCTTCGGGACAATAAAGATGTGTTCGCTTTCTCAATAGTAGACATGCCTAGGATTGATCTAAACCTCATCTCCCACAAGCTGAACGTCGACCTTACCGGTCGACCAGTTAAGCAAAAGAAGCGGAATTACTCCGCTAATAAGAATAAAGACATCGCAGTCGAAGTAAAAAAACTTCTAGATGTAGGTTTCATCGAACCCTGACAATATCTGGAATGGCTTGCTAATGTTGTGATGGTTCAGAAGGCGAATGGCACATGAAGAATGTTCGTTGACTTCACAGACCTAAATAGAGCCTGTCCGAAGGACTTCTATCCCTTGCCAAGGATCGATCAGCTAGTCGACTCGACAAGTGGTCATGCTCTGCTTAGTTTCAAGGACGCATTCTTGGGGTATCATCAGACCTTCATGCACCCCGATGACCGAGCAAAAATGGCATTCGTTAGGAACGCCGAGGTGTATATCTACAAAATGATGCCCTTCGGATTGAAAAATGTCGGGGCAACATATTAAAGGCTGGTTGATCAGGTCTTCGCCGAGCAAAAAGGCCGCAACAGGAAAGTTTATGTTGACGATTCCATCGTCAAAAGCAAAGAGGAAAGGACCATGTCGGGGACCTAGCCGAAACCTTTGCGACCCTTAGAAAACACCAAATGAAGCTGAATTCGAAGAAGTGCGTCTTCGGCGTGAAGTCAGGAAAGTTCCTAGGTTTCATGGTCAGCAAAAGGAGGATTGATGCCAATCCCGCCAAAGTACAAGTAGCGCTCGATCTTCCCGAGCCAAAAACAAAGAGGGATGTCCAGCACCTCACTGGGAGAATGGCAGCCCTGTCAAGGTTTATATCCAGAAACTCGATCAAGGGGTTACCCTGCTTCAAAGCGCTGAAACTCCCAAAAACCACAGAGCTCATCTGGGAAGATGAGCAAAAAGAAGCCTTCAAGCAGCTCCGTGAGCACCTGGCTCAACTCCCAACGCTAGCTCGCCCAGCTAAAGGAGAAATTGTATACTTATACGTGGTAGTTAGCCCAGCCACCATAAGCGCGGTTCTGTTGAAGGAAGAAGACAAAATCCAGAAGCCAATCTACTTTGTCAGCCACACTCTGATGGATGCCAAGTCCCGCTACCCCCTGCTCGAAAAATATACCTATGTAGTAGTGGTAGCCGCTCAGAAGCTGAGGCCTTATTTTGATTGTCATCAAATAGTGGTCTTAACTAATCAACTGCTAGAAAAAGTCCTCGGCAAAGTGGAAAAATCTGGTAAGCTGGCAAAGTAGGCCTTCGAGCTCACTGAATTCAGCATCAGCTACCAGCCGAGGACAACCATCAAGGCACAAGCTCTAGCGGAATTTCCGGCCGAATGCTCGTACTAGGAAATGCTAGACGAAGAAAAGAAGACCTGGACCGTTTTTATGGATGGATCTGCCACCGTGAATGGTTCGGGGGTGGGGGTAGTACTTACCTCACCTAAAGGCAAGTCCTTCGAGTATGCACTTAAATTTTCATTCCGAGCTTCGAACAACAAAGCAGAATGTGAGGC